AGCAGCCGCCCGTGTCTGAGCTGGAAAGACCACGGGCCCATCTGGTTCCAGCGGCTGCGGTGGGTGGGGAAGAAACGGCCCTTGTTCTCCCAGGCCCCAGGTCTTCTGCTTTGTTTTTAAGCCCTATTAAAGGCATTTGGAGATTTCTGCGCTGGAGCAGACCCCCGGTCCCCCTCGCCCTGCATCCTGTCTCTGCAGCTGGAGGCGCTGGAAGCACTTCCAAGCTCTCCCTGCGCCCGGCCAGTTGCGCTGTGTGATCCCTGGGGACAAGGGCACAGGGGGCACGTGTGACAGCGCGTGGACCCCAGAAGCTGCCCGTGCCAGGACAGGCTGGATTTGCCAGACCCGTGCACATCGCTTTGGAGACCACGGGTCTGGAAAATCTCCATGCTTTATGGAAAGACCTTGCTTGTAAGCTTGGAGAGCTGCTTTCCTCTGCTCCCCTGCAGCAGTGAGTTCCACCAGTCCATTAAAAGCAGCCTTTCCTCCTGGGCTGGGTGGCTCGATCTGCTCCCCCTCCCCATTCTCCCAGATGCTCCAGCCCCTTTCCGGCAGCAGTTTTCAAGGGGTTTCTGCACGCACCTAGTTAGCGTGTGCTGCAGGCCGATGCTTGCACCGCTGTTTGTAGACCTGTGCCATCCCTGCCGGCAGTAACCACGGCCTCTGTCCCCGCAGGGAAGCGACAGCGAGTACGAGGTGGATCCGAACCCCCAGAAGGCCCACTCCTTCGTCAACCACTACATCAGCGACCCCACATACTACAACTCCTGGCGCCGGCAGCAGAAGGGCATCTCACGGGCCCAGGCGTACAGCTACACCGAGAGCGACTCGGGAGACCCCGACCATTGCCCCCTGTCCAACAGCAACAGCACGCAGCAGGGCAGCCTCTTCCGGCCCAAAGCCAGTAGGACTCCAACCCCACAGACGCCCGTCAACCCCCCCAGCCAGCAAAGCACCCTGTACCGCCCCCCCAGCAGCCTGGCGCCCGGCTCCAGGGCCCCCATCGCCGGATTCTCATCCTTTGTTTGATATTGCAAGAAAAAAGAAAAGCAAAAGAGGAAAAGGACAGGACGGTCGCCCCAAACCAAACCCCACTTCACACCCGTGCTCAGTGCCGGGGCCGGCCGTGGAGCGGAGAAGCAGCCCTCGTCCTGCTCCCGCGGCTTTGCTGCTTCAAAGGGGCGCGCGGGGCTCTTCGAAGACCTTTGCCAAAGCTTACGTGGAGGTTCGCGGGCAAGCACGGAGCGGGGAGCTCCCTGACAGCCACGGGCAAGGGGCAAAGGCAAGGAATGGGGGAGAGCGGCGTGGCGACGGCAGGCAGCTCCTCGCAGGTGGGATTGCTCGCCCCTATGCTGGAGCACCGTGACTTTCCCCCCACCGGTGCTTTCTGGCCAAAGCTTTGTGTGCGTGACGCGGCGGGGTGCAGCTCCAGCCCCGACGGCAACAAACGTGGCCGGCTCCGACCACCGAAAACGTGCCTGGGCATCCAGCAGCTACTGCCAGCGTCTGGTCCGTGCTGCCACGGAGCCCGCCTGGACGGGAACGATGCCCAGGGGCTTATGCTGCCCCGTGGGCTGGGCTGTGGTGCCCCGTGGAGCGGAGCGAAGTCGGCTTTTCCAGGGTGACCTGTGGGCTGCCTCTCCACCACCGCCTCTCATCTCCCAGGGGGGAAAGGCAATGACCGTGGACCACAGAGACATTCCCCAGTGGTTTCTGACGTGGCTGGGGAGCGGGGAGAGCGGAGCTGGGGCCCGGGACATGAGAACCACATCGATTTACTTGAATTCGGGGGTGAGCCTCCCCTGCCCCAGCAATTTCCTCCCTGCTGGGAAAGCAGGGCTGTGCCACACGTGGCAGGTGGGGTATCGCTCATCAGCACCTTCATCCCCGCTCCCAGAAGGCGGGAGAGGGGCAAATCATGCCCCAGGTGGTGGAGGGGGGGGATATCCACGCCAAGTACTATCGCTGGCTCTGCCACGCCACAGGATCGTGCCTTGGGGCGGGGGTGACGGACCGACCGTGGCAGCCTTCATTTTCTATTCCCTTTGAGTGTGCAGGTTTGGGGGAGTGTGAGGGGCGGGGGGGGATCCAGACCGGGGTGCGGGCCGGTGCATCGGGCGGTTGTTTCTCAGCATAGCAAAACACACGCAGTGCCTACTCGTCAGCCGGGGGCGGCCGTGGAGAATGGGGCCAGGCCGGCAGGAGGGAGCGAGAGGAGCTGGGGGCTGCGCAGCCTCCCTCCCCGTCCCTTGGTGGGGGGAGTCGGGGCCGTGGCGGTGACACAGCCACGCGCGTCGCCCCCAGCCCTGGCTTGCACATCCTCTGCATCGTTCGGTTCAGAGGGATTGAACCTGGCGCGTGGGGCCTTTCTAATAAACAATCCAAAGCGATGGACGTGGCTCGGCCTTTGATTTCCCCCCTCCCGCCCCTGCGAGGTGGTAACGAGGGGCTTTGCAATTGTTAGCTTGATGGAGCCAGGCCTGTCCTAGATGCCCCCGATGCCGGCAGTTTCATATCCAGGAGCAGGTCTGGAGCCTCCCTCTCAGGTGCGTGAGCTGGAGCCATGGTTTTAATGCAGGTGTTAAAGTTACCCAAAAAGATGCACGCGGGCAGAATCGTCCATAAGCAAAGAGACCGTGTAGGATCCAGACCCTGCTTTGGCTCTTTCCACAGATGAGTCTTCCTCAAGGGTTTGGTTCCCAAACGTCCAGCCCCTTGGATGGGAGTCCTGGAGGAAAAGCCTCCCCCACCGAGCTCTGCCGGCAGCGCCTGCTCCTCCGGCACTTGCCAGCAACGAACTCACGGGCACTGGTGCCGTTGGGGGCTTTGCATGAGAGCCCGGTTCAGGGAGCTCAGGGCATGGACTGAACCTGCCTGTGGGTGCAGAGTCCAAGGAAAGCACCTTGCCAGTGGCCCAGAGCCTGGGATTTCATCAGTGCCTTTTAATGCACTGAGGAGAGTGGCCCTAGCTGCCCCTGCATTGCAGGTCACGGGGTAAAGCTCCGTGCGAGACCTTGCCCTATCGTTGCTGGGTAGTAGATCTGAGGCTGTCAGGTTGGATCTTGGATCGTGGCCGGCGGCGAGGCCTGACTCCAGCCCTGCTCAGCTTTGCTTCCCTGCTTTGCAGAGCTGCTGACAGAGACGGGACTGCAGCACGGAGGGAGGGAGGGCCTGCATCTCCTGCAAGATGGCCTTTCTGTCTGGGTCCGTTCCGCCCCTCGTCGCTGAAACACCCGAGCGCGGTTCTGCTCTGCAGTGCAGACCCGGCCGGGAAATCAAAGTGACGTCTTGGAGTTAATTACCTGTCAAACTCCCCTTCCAGAACCAAAGTGGATTTTAAGTTATGGGGCAGGAGAGGGATGGGGGGAAAGCAGCCGCAAGACAGCACGTGGCTGCAGCCGAGGTGGGGAGCACAAATTAATGCCAATTGACAGGATTTCACGGAAAATTGGGCTTGTTAGACCAACAGGGCATGGGCTTTTGGATGAGCCTGCAAGTGTGGTGGATGGAAGGAGTGGTGCTGACAGAACAGATTTCGGCTTCGGTAAAGAATCAGACAGCCCCTGGCGAGGTTCAGATGGGCAAAGATAAGCTCCTTTGTGAGAAAAACCATAAATGAGCCACCAAATGACCAACAGCAACTGCAAGAGCCATGAGTGGGGTCTCACGCAGCCCTGGGCTGCCCGTGATCTTTGTTGGAGGTAGGGAGGACCCTAGGAAATCCCTGCTGGGATGGTTTGGAGGGGTGGGAGACGGAGCGGGGTGTGATGTGGGTCTCCCTGGGGTAGGGGGCAATAGCCCGAGCGCCCTGACCCTGAATAGAAACTGAGGTCGTGGCTCGCTGCTGGACCGGCGAGCATAGGAAGAGCTCATCCAGCCTCCAGGAGCGGGTCCAGGGAGCTCATGATGGGACGTTGTGCCCAACTCTGGAGGCGGTGATGCTGGAAAGGGATCGGAGAGGAGCAGCAAGACCGGCTCGTGGCCTGAAGAGTTGCAGACTGGAAGTGCTGCTCAGCCTCCAGGCGTGGATCCAGGAGAAGGTGAAGGAGAGATGGGACCGCTGGATGAGCAATTACGCCGGGATAACGTGCGTGCAGTCCGGGGCGGTGCTCCATCCCCGCCTGATCCACAGCGGGTGAAAGCAGAGGCCAGCCAGGCCATCGTCCCCTGCCCCCATTGCGGGCGCTGCAGCAGCATCTGCCATTGCCACAGCAACACATCTGTAGCTGCTGTTCGGTTCTGCTGCTGCCTTCTCCTTGTCGCCCCGTTTGCTCCTTCCCGAGCCCTGCGTGTTGGGAGAGGGCTCCTGGGCAGGCTGTGGGGTTGCCTTGGTTGCTTTGCAGCGCTGGGGGGGGGTCGCGCTGCCCAGGCGCCCCTGGAGCCTGGTTCCCAGGGCAGCCCCAGCAAAGCTCCCCTCTCCTGGTTGCCCCCCAGGTATCACCGCCTCCGTGCGAGCTCCAGCTTCTCTCGGTGCCCCCATGCCCACATCAAACACATGGCAGAAGGGATCCAGGGCTGAAGGGTTCGACCCCCTCTCCATCCTCACGCCTTCAGAGGCAAAGGGCAGGTGCTTGCCCTCATCCTGGGGCAGGAGGGCTGTCTCTAAAGGCAGTAACTCCAGCTTTAGAAGCCGTCTCCAGGTCCAGGGAGGGCATCCAGCAGGGCTCGGTGCAGGGTATCGCAGGGGTTATTCTTGCACTCAGCCCTGGATTCGCCTGCTCCTCAAGCACGGCTTGGCATCAGTTCTCAGGCGCTGGGGCTTGCAGACACGTGGGATGGCTGGCGTGGGGGTAGCAGGAGAGCAACGTGTCTCCTAGGTCAGACTGGAGGGCCTGATTGTCCTTGACGCACCTCCCGTGGGCAAACTGAAGGGGTTTATCAGCGTTTTGCATAGCAGAGGGAAGGGCGGGAGGAGGACAGACAATCCCTCGCTCTCTTGGTGCTGGTTGTTCCCCCGGCTACCCCCCTGCACGGGCGGCTGGACCAGCTGATACGCCCTGGGCATGTTACAGGAGCAGTGTGTCCTTGTCGGTGACAGGGCAATGCACGCACTACCCCCAGGGCTGGGATTTACTGCTCAGCGCCCATCCTTACGGGACCTCCCTGTGTATGGAGACTTGGATCAGGGGAGAAGACAGCAGGTCACTGCTGTGCCGGACTTGTCTTGGGGTGGGGGTGACTTTATTCAGGCCCTGGCAGGGGGTTGGGGGGCTCAAACTGCCCTCCGGCTGTCAAGCAGCACCCGGGAAGGAGTCCGGATGGTGCTTCCAAGCCCTTGAAATGGGATGGAGAGGCAGGGGCCTGAGAGATGGGGTCGCCTTCCTCCCTGGGTTGCAATCTCCTCTCCACCCTCGCCACGGGTGGGCACAGCAAGCCTAAGGCATCACATCCCATTGCTTTAGCTGCAATCCAGCGTGATACCCGAAATGCTGATGGTGATGGAGGCACTGGTTGAACTGGGCCCTGCAGCCGTGCTGGCCGATCCTTGGGCTGGGGCGTGGGTGTGTATTACACAGGGCATGAGCCTGGTGCCACGAGACCCGGCTCCATCCGGGGGCTTTTTGGTACGACCTCTCTTTGCTCCCCCAGTCTTGTAGCTGACTCTTCATCAACACTAGCCACTGAGCTTGTGACACTGAGCTTACCTGCATCTGCTTCTTCCCCGGACCCGAAAAAGGGCACTTTGTGCCCAAAAGCTTGTCCACCATCTCCTCCACCCAGACATCTGGTCCAATTAAAGACAGCCCCAAAATACTCCTTGTCTCTCAGACGTTTCCTGCACCATCCCGGTGACAACAACACTCCAACCAGGTGACTTTGCAGAAAGGAGCAGTTTCGTGTTGACTTGAAACCAGTGGCAAATTCTGCCGGATAGTCTGGGCCAAAAAATAACAAAATCAGGGTTTTTCTTGGGGAAAAAAAATACCCATTTCTCTAAGTAAAAGCTTTTGAGTCTTTGGTGCTGGGACTCTCTTGACCTCCATTGAGTTTAAATAACCCCGCTAAATTAAATAAAATGCTTCTTTCATTTCAGTCACATGGAATTTTCCAGGGTTTTTTGGTTTTTGGGTTTTTTTGTTCCAGGGCGAAAACAAAACATTTTCAGTTCAGGTTGACCTGAAACAATGGTTTCCTCCCTGTTTTTCAGGCAGGCCAGCCAGCTGACAAGTAGATTATTCACACAGTGTCAGTGTAAGATAAGGGGCCTGATTGTCAATGACTTTTCTCTTGCCTTTGGGGGTGGGGGTGAAGGCAGCTGAGTTCCCTGCATCCTGGGATAGCTGGAAAGGCGGGCATGTCCCCAGCACGGCAGGGAGGATAGCTGGACTGGCTATGCCCTGCTAGGGCCAAGTCCACACCCCACAGGGCAACAACCAGTGCAGGGAGCGGGGGTGTTTGCACTCATTTAAAGGCCTTTAGGGTCAGCTCTGTACTGCAGCGTTTAACTTATTATCTATTATCAGCTCTGCTGTAGCTCCAGGCCTGAGGGTCTCCCTGGAGCCGTAGGGGTCTGGTTTATCACTGGCGCCTCCAAGGAGGGCAGGGGGCTGGATTGGCTTCGAGTGCATGCATGCACCAGGCGCACACGGTTCTTCGGGTAAATGGGATCTCTTTCATTAGGAATCAAAACTCGTGGACGAGGGGATCTCATTTATTAGACCAACTAGGTATTTGCAAACAAATCGTTTTATTTATTTGCCAGCTTTCGGGCACGCTCACCCTTCATCAGGCATAGGAGGGGGTGTGTGCCCAAAAGCTTGCAAATGAATAAAATGATTTGTTTGCAAATATCTAGTCAGTTTAATAAAAGATGCTATCTATGATATCTCCTGTGAAGGGTGAGTGTGCCTGAATCTAATAAAGGGTGAGTGTGCCCAAATCTTTTTATCTAATAAAAGATATCCCCTATGAAGGGTGAGCGTGCCTGAAAGCTGGCAAATAAATAAAATAATTAGTGTGCAAATATCTAGTTGGTCTAATAAAAGATATCACCTTTTCAATGAGTTTTGATGCCTTTTGCCTCTACAACCTGGATACTTGGCATCCCTTTTATTATTAGACCAACTAAATAGCTGGAAAAAACTGTTCTCAGCAAGCTTTCGGGTACAAATACCCTTCTTCAGGGCTGGTGAAATCTAGAGAGATTATTTGGGGTATCAGGTGGCAGGCAGGTTATGGTGTGCCATAAATCCAATGGCTATATTTAGTCCCTGATTTTTGGTATCCAGTAGATGGGTGAAGTGATGTTTGCAGGCTCGTTTGCATGCTCCTGCACACAACAAATGCCCTTCCTGGCCCGGGGGATCGGTCCCCCAAATCCTCCCTGAGGTGTGGATGGTTTCTAAGCTGACGCATGCAGCTGTATCCAATGTGGCATTTCCAGCTGCCT